ACAGGCTTTCGGCGTTACGGGTTTCACATCAGTGACGATTTGCCGCACTGTCGTGACTCTTTGGTCATAGTTACAGGAAGCGGAATTTCTTGTTTTTTTTTTCTAGGAACAGGCCAAAATCACTGCGCGCGCGGACATCATCCATAAAACTTACTTGGTGTGGCCTAATCTTGGATCGGCTGGAGTATACCTTTGAGAGAGTGTTATGATTGTGATGATCTTGCTAAGATAGGAAGAAACAAGGCCATTAAAAAAGCTCATCACTTGACATCATCATCCAACAATTGGATCTCTTTGCCTCCAGACTTTTTTGTGAGGGATTTAAGTACATGTGTATAGAATTTCCTGGAGCACTGATAAACTTCATAGGATGGTACTGAGGCAAATGATTGTCTCTAAGGCCACGCCAATTTAATTTCTTGGTTAACGGATTTTTCTAGAAAAATAATGGAGCGGGCGGGCGTAAAAAAATAAAAAATAAAAACAGGCCTTGGCATCCTGTTATGGCCCAAAATGGTACGACAGGAGCCATGAAGTCAACACACCAGGCTGGTTCAAAATTTAAACAATGAATTTTGAACTTTTAATAATACCATTGCATTGAAAGATGGAATAACTGTAACAACTAGGAAGAAAAGGACTGTTTTCAATTGTTCAAGGCAAAATATCAGCATTTTGCAGTTGATTCTGAATTTTTATTTTTATTTGCAAATCAGAAAAAAATGAAGCGGGCGAATCCGTTAACCAAGAAATTAAATTGGTGTGGCCTAATGAAATCTCCTAAAATTATCATTTTGTGGTCACTGCACTTACCCCCTTCTTCCCTGTCAGCACCCCCCAGCAGTCCAATGGTGAGGTCCAGATGAATGTTTGCCTCTGGTCCTATCCCATGATCCTCTAGGCTCAGCTGCGGACACAACTGTCAATGATAATATAATAATGAATAATGTGATTTATAATCAATACATTTCTGCATGGCCAACTAAGATCAAAGATTATTGTACCAATTTGAAAGAACAGCTGTAAAAAAAGTAGTTTCATTGGATGTCAACAGTTGCATTTGGACTGGTATAATACAGAAGATGGGAGTAGTTTTCAGTCCATGTAAAATGAATTCCATCCGAAATTCTGTCCAAACTAATCCTTCTAAAGTTTCTTCAACAATGAAATTGAAAGCATGTTGTCTATCTCAGAGTCTGATCATCCAAAAAGCACAAAATAGCACGATAAAATCAGAGTTAAATCATGGTTAAAATTAGAATGCTTAACACAAACATTTTACACAATAGTTAAAAGAAACTTCATGAATACTTTTAGTGTATGCAACCTCTGAATCAAAGCAAAGCTACATGTATACTATAGAGCACTGTAAATAAATTGTAATCCAACTGTCACAGTTATTTTTCGTAATAAGAATTCCTTACATGGAACTGCCTTCCTGTCCAAAGTCTTTGCTTCTCAGGTAACACTCCAAGTGTTTGGAAAATGTCTTCTTGCAGACATTTCACTGTCATGTCTGGGGTAACCTCGAGGCAAGTTGGAGGTGCAATGTCTGAATATACAAACACTTGATAACTGGAGAAAGAAAAAAAAGAGTAAACAAGGAGAAGTCGTAGACATCGTCCCTCCATGAAATAGCTTGTTATTTTGTAATCTTTTGGTGTATTTTAATAGACATATTATGAGTCAAACTTTGTTTTATCAGCAAAATGATAGATGTCTATAGATGTCTATCCTTTAAGAATTTTGTTGTGGCACTTCGTATTGGAAGGGGTTGCCTCAAAGCTGTCATGTGCAGGCGTTTAGTGTCTTGTTACCATGGTTTGTTTGAGGTCAATGACCTCTCAAGCACAACATATTAACAAACCACAGATGACCCAGTTCCCTGCTGAATGACCGATTAAAGATAAAATATATTTCCTGCAGAAATGGTCTAGAGGTAAAAATAGATTGGCCTGACCTGCCAGCTGGAGATATAAACAAAAACACTCTGGGGTCAAACAGACCATCCTATTATGAAATAGGGGTGAAAATGTGAAAATCCTTTTAAATAAGCAATGCAAATCTACGACAACCTGCTAATGCACGCTAAAACGCAAAGACAATCAGCGTCTACCCACATACCAAAAATGATCGCCAACCATCCACCGGGTTCTGAGATCATTCAACGCAAACAATCTGACATTGAGATAGCAATTCCGGTTCAAAGCAAACAGCTAGGGGGCCCAAATTTACATCACTAAACCATTGTAACCACAACTACATGCTACCTTAGCATCGCACACACAGACCATAACGTGCCAACAATAGAATAAAAAAATTAAACTGCAGTACCAAGGTCAATCACCAGGTGCTCAAAGTCAACCTACACAATCTCTAAGGCCCCATCCATCAATCTGCCAAATATCATACAGTTCCTTCTCACCGATCTTCAGATATCAGACCAAACATGAAACGGAGTAAAAACAATACCCCCCATTTACATGGAGGGTAAAAACAAGAAAGCTTTTAAAAAAGCTGACATTTCGCAGATGATTGTAAATGAAGGAACACAGTGTCAATTGAAGTGCACTTTCTATAGATTAAAACTTAAAGTTGATTGACCATTTGCAGCAACATTAGCTAATCCTGTGACATGGTATTCAACTTTACATGTAGATCATTAAAGAGGCCAATGGGACCAGTCCTCCTTGTATAGGACCTGGTATGGACTTTCAAAAAACAACAAATTACTAACTTTAAAGTTTAAGTGCCTAAGGTATGGTTCAATTTAGTTAGAAAAACCACTCTCGATGTACATGTATATGACTGCATTAATGAAGTAAAAAAGTATGCCCTTGATGCTTTAAAGTTAAAGTGCCTAAGGTATGGTTCAATTTTGTTGGAAAAACCACTCTCCATGTACATGTATATGACTGCATTAATGAAGTAAAAAAGTATGCCCTTGATGACCAGTACTGAAACTGTCTGAACATTTCCTGACAGTCATTTACTCAGTTGTTGACATATTTCTCAGTAATTTACTTTTCTTTACACTCAACACGTAGACGTCTGAAAAATAAACCAATTACATAATTATTGATTATGGACATGTATATTATGTATATTATACATGTACAATGTATATAATTAGTAAATTAAGTATCACTAACTCACACATTCACTTAGTTTAGTACATGAAATATGTTAAATACAATGTAGTCATTCACCTCTTCTGTGGATTCTTGGTCTTCTTTTCTACCACCTTCCTTTGGAGCTTACTTACTCTCTGCTTCCCCAGGTCTATGTGGTCTTTTACTTTCTTTCTGTTGTCTGGCATATCTTTCCATCGTTTCCGTTTTCTGTTTTTACACTTGGGAATGTTGTGGAACTCTTGTTCGGAATGGTGTTTTGCATATCTTTTTGCTTTAGTTCCATTACTTCTACAGCAATCCATGCAAATTTTGACCAAGTTGTCAGTTTGGCTGTCGTTATCTTGTAGGTCTGCATAACACACATTGAAACAATTACTTATTGAATAACAGTTTCATGTTAAGTTACAGTAAAGACCATGAAGTGAACTTATTTTGGGGTCAATTTACGTTACTAGATTCTTTCTACAACCATCAATTATGTTTTAATATAATATAAAATAATGGGCAAACAATGAAGCACAACATATATAACATCTGACTAACTCCAGTCTAAAAGCTGGCTCTATATTGTAACTTGTTAAACTTGCATTAGACTTCTATATTTGAGACAGTGAAGATGTTGAAGTAGAGAATAACTTTGTTTTTGTCTGTAAAATGTTCTTTTGTGAGCATAGATCATGGACACTCACTCACTCTCACATAGCAAATAAAAAGTTTGAGATAAAACTTATTTAGTCTTCCACTTTATTTGGCCTAACTACATTAAATGTACTTATTACTGTACATTAAAACCAAACCAGTCTGCACACAAATTCTGTGCAGTTGAGGGGTGGAATTATTAATGCCTAGTGTTTCCTGTTTCAGTCCTAATAAATTAGGGTCAGTAGGTAGGGATTATCTTCTTTCTTTTTTTATAATATTAGACTTTGGCAATCTCTAGTGATCTAACTTATAAAATATGTAAGCTTAACAAAGTAACATGCATAAGGACACTAATTTCAATGCCAATGTTGGAAAACTGATCGTACAATGTTTCATCACTCATCTCAAAATGTTTATGTTCCCTGCAGGGGTACCCACAAAATACGGTCGGCAGTTTTTTCTTGGTTTGTTCATGAAATAGGAAACACATTCAACATTTTTTTTCTTAGGCCTAAGTTCATTGTAGAGAGAGGAAATATAAGACTTAGGAACTATATAAGCTACCTTTGATTGGCACTTCTTTCTCAGACTGGCAGTGTTGTGTGGTAGTTTTGTGGTTGAGTCTTTTCCCAATCCTATCGTGGTGAGTAAAAAAAGCAATAATGTTTAGCCCCCAACAGGTTGATCCAAGACAATAAATGAAGTCAGGACTCTTATCCATCTTAGAACATTCAGAAGAAAGAAAGTTTTTTACATTTGAATGTAAATTTTCATAACATGTTTGTTTTTGGAACACATTAATGAGAATGAAAGTTCATCTACTAGTATCTATCTTACTACCTGTGATCAATCGATCAATTAAGAGAGAGTCATGATTCTAATTTCCGTAAGACCAGCTGCAGTCTCCTCGCAATACCGAGTCAATAGATAAAGTTGAAAGATAATCTAGAAAGGGATTTGGAAATTTTACTTTCTCAGATGGGTGTAAGAACACCTGGATCCCTCAACCAATGGGGGCTTATAACGATGCCATGCACCTTAAATTTGACCCGTTGCTTACATTACGTTTCAAGTCACATGATGATAACACAGACTTCAGGTAATTTCAACTTGTGAAGGATCAGATGACAGTTCAAAAACTTGTTGGTAAAGTGCCTTAAGTTGTGTAAGGATATAGCATGAAAGTTACGACATATTAGTTATAAAAACATCTAATTGTACATACCTTTTACACATCTTTGGTGCTTTTACTTTGGTCCATCCTGTTTTGTTTTCGCGCAAAGTCTTTCCAGGAGGATTGTGTCTGGATACTGGGAGTTTTCAATATTGCAGAATGTAAGTAAGATGCTATATAACGAACCTAACATTGCACATATTCACAGTAACACAGTAAAATTGTAATAATTCAGACTACTATGTCATATTAATAAGGAAGGGAAGGATGATGACTGACAGGACTAACCGATATAACCACAGGGCTCAAAATATGGGGTGCAAATACACCTTTAGTAAACTTCAAGGTAAATTTGGTGCTGTGCAGGTATTTCTGATTATAATCTGCACTGGTCCATCAAAGACATCACATCCTACTACTTAGTATATAATGTCCCTGGGTCCATATTGTACTACATGTAGGTTTAATGTGGATTTAGAAGGATCCATTTACTTCTTTTAAGTCTGAGTGGTACAGGTAAAATTTGTCTGGTGCAGGTAAATTTCAATGTTAGGCCACACCGATTTAATTTTATGGATGACATCCTCTGAAGACCCCCAAACTAGTGCGCGCGGGTGAATAAAAAAAAATTCCGGCCAAAAATAAAAATGCCACCAAACCACAGGAATAATACAAAGCTGGTATTGTGAATTTGCGACAGTACTTAGCGACGTATTCGACAAGCCGTCACATGCTGGCTTTTTGCGGCATTTATGAATCGGTACTGTACTAGTACTTATGTACTGAGTTCTTGAGTTGTGGAGCTTCGAATTCGATAGCCTGGGTGCTCGGCTCCATTTTGTCGCTGAATACCATGGACTACCCAGGCCTAGAGCCAGGCCAGAGCCTCGGTTGAGGTGATTTTTTTTTTTTTGAGGGCGACAGGCGAAAATCAATCCAAAAAATTAAGTTGGTGTGGCCTTACTCATAAAAAAAGTCATATAAATCTATGAGTAGTTCATCATCAATGATAATGAATAATTCTCTTAACACTCCCATAAATCAAACATAAAATACACATACAGTTAGCCTTCTTCCTGTTGGTTTGCTTTATCTGCACGAATTTGGTGCCAAAGCCAGCTAGACTTTACTAGTAGCAGCGTAAATGTTAAACCCACCTTCCTCTTGCAATGGTACGTACTGTCCCTCCCACCTGGCTACAAATATCTGCTGACCAGTCATTGTCCCTGCTGGAACGATGACATCAGTGCCCTCTTCTGTTACCATGACAACCACACAGCCTGTGGTGTTGGCAACTTCTTGAAGATGGCAACATCCATCCTCTTGTTCCTTACATTCTTCTGTTATCTATTAGTAAACAGAACAGATTAAGAAAAAACTGTTCAACAATGTTAAAATGTAGATGACAATGAGCTTCAGGTAGTTACATTGCAAGGCAGCATACTATGTCAATGACAAGTAGGCTTTTGTGTACTAAGGCTAGCCTAGCTGGGATTTAAAATTAGTAAGTACATGTAGTTTTTACACATTTTTTCATTGACTTAAAAAAATCGCTTTGGGAATCATGGGTCCTCACTTCACTCAGGTGAAAATGAGTACCTAGCTTTGGCTAGGGACGTCCCTCGGATAGGACGTTAAATGGAGGTCCCGTGTTTGGGAGAGCCACACCCCACGCAAGAACCCACCACACTTATCGAAAAGAGTAGGGGACCTTCCCGGTGTGAGTGGTTCAAACATTACAGTCTGGTCTCAGGTTTGACATCTTTGAAAAGGTGATATTCACCTGTTATGTCAATCCTTCCACAAATGTGGTAAATCGTCATAAATAAATAAATGGGTACTGATAATACCAAAAATACCAATGAAGGAATATAGAATGTGATATTACTCATATAGGTTTGTATAACTTAACTTTCTAGTTCTCAACTATTACACTATATTTCAACTCTGGAACCCAAACATACAAACCCCAGGCCCCTAAATCAGCACCCAAAACAACAACATATGTTTTTTTATTAAAAACATGTCATGTCTTATGAAATGTTATATTATTCTACCTTTGTTGTTTCCTTATTGCAGCATGTACATGTAGCTGTTGGATTGACGTCACAAGGAAGACTTCTACAACATTGCCCAGGAAGCCAGTTGTCCTGCAACTTAAGCTTCATGTTGTAGAGTCTTCCACGGAGTGCAGAAGGCAGCAGCAAAGACATATCCTGGTGCATGTCTTCTCCTTCCATGGCTTGCAGCATGTCGTTTACTTGCTAAGGCTAGCCATTGATTTCGATGAGGACTTCAGTCTAATTGTCTCCTCTCTCCCAGTGAGTTCTGTGATGGACATACTTCACTTTACTTACATTTCTCAAATTATGTACAACAGATTTCAAGGGTCTCAATGCTAGAGACAGCACAATGCAAAATTAGCCAAATACGAAAGACAGCTATGTTTTATTTATTAGAAAAAATACAGAAACTCATGATTATCCCCATTGATTGTAACACTATATCAAAGACAGACTTGTGCTAGCCCTTGTTGCTTGAAAAGTTACTAGTGGGTTTTATTCCATATTAGGCCACACCAATTTAATTTCTTGGTTAACGGACTCGCCCGCTTCATTTTTTTCTGATTTGCAAAAAAAAAAAAAAATTCAGAATCAACTGCAAAATGCTCAAACAGTCCCTTTTCTTCCTAGTTGTTACAGTTATTCCATATTTCAATGCAGTGGTATCATTAAAATTCCAAATTCATTCATTGTTTAAATTTTGAAGCCTGATGTGTTGACTTTTTTTTCGTCCACCCGTTCCATTATTTTTCTAGAAAAATCCGTTAACCAAGAAATTAAATTGGTGTGGCCTTAATTTGCATTTTTGAAATTCCGATCATGTTGCAAAAAAAATGATCATCATCATAAACCTGCACAGCTCTTACTTTACCTACAGGCTACATGTAATTTGTGCAGGTCAGAGCTTTCGAGTACCCCTGACTCGTTACTGAAAATGTACTTAAAATTGTTCTAAATCATTAAAATACTAAGTTCTAGGAGAATGTAACAATTAATGTATCTTGAATCAACCGGTGACCACACAAGGTACTCAAACTAAAGTTTCCTTCGATTGTTTATGACGAGTGATTTTGAAACATATCAAAAGTGAAAGTGAACTGGTGCATGCCCCCCACCCACCCGCACCCAAAAATACCCCCGAAACTGTCAACAACTTTTCACCGAAAATACCTCATGTACCTTAGTAAATGTTTAGCCATCGACATCTCGTGTCGTAGTGTGGGGTGATATCTTCCTCTATACACCTATGAGTACCATGACGCATATTTGGACCAGACAGTTGCCGATATTTGAGTAAAACCTCTTGAAAGTGTTGAAAAGTTACCGTGAAGAACTCGACGAACTTTGAACTTTGTAGTTACGACCGCAAGGGATTGTGGTATAGATGAAATGTAAATACCCCTTTCGGTTGAACACCGTAAGGTATCGGACCGGAGTTTCTCTCCGTATTTCGAGCAATTTGACACCCTCAGCCCGACGGGCTGTCATTTCTGTACTAAACGCGGGTCGGAATTTTTCACTCTTTTGGTGGAAAGGGGTGCCGTGCCGCTTATCAATACACTTGATTGATATTTTCTGCGCCCAATTTATTTAGGGGTAAATAAGGCACATCAAAGTACATTTTTAAAAAAGGGGTCATTTTTTTCGTCATTTTTAACCATGGCTGCATGGAAAAAACGAATTTTCCCAGGGTAACGGCTTAGTACTCGAAGAAGCTCAGAACCTAATGTTTCCAAAATTTGAATTTAATTAAAATCGATGCGATAAGTTTATCGCTATCTTCGATGGCCCGAACACACCCAGAACGCATATAGAACGTACCATCCCGGCGGTCAGGCGAAAAGGCCACATAACCATCCGCGCGGACGAATACCAGGAAGTCTTCGCTGGACCACCAACATTACGCCACCTATAAAGGCTATAACTAACAGGCTTTTCAGAAAATACAAAGATATGTACACAGATATTACGATTTCAGGGATATCGCGGCCAAAACATACCATACAAAGTCACGTTTCCGGCGATTTACTGCGCACTTACTTAGAAGCCCCGCCCCCTGTTCTATTTAGAACGCCTCAGTGTCAGTCAAAAGCAGCGTGGGAATTGCCTGGTTACCAAACCTATTATAGCTCCCGAGTCCTACATCCTCTCCTATTTGCGGAGAGGATGGGCTCGGGAGCCATAATAGGTTTGGTAACCAGGCTAGCGTGGGAGGGGCCACCAGAATGTCGGTTTTGCCGCCCAACTTTGGGGTCGCGTTTTCAGAAAAGATATTCAATGGAGAAAGATATTTCAACAAAAATACGCTCTTCTGATGTTAGGAAACGTCGAGTCTTGCAAATCAAATATTTCAACTCAAATATTTCCTTTTCTTGCTTTCTGACGCCGAGCAACTCCATAAATGTTGCCAATGACAGGCGGACCGCTAGAATCGCTATTTACTAGTAGTTAGCCACCGTCAGGCTATGGGATGGTTAACCTAGTCGTATTTAGTCCTGTTGATGTTGCCTGTATGATCGTGATTGACATAGTTTGAATCGCTAAGCTGGTTTGTGTTCTACTGTAAAAATGTGAGACCTCAAAGTTTGGTATATAATTTTTTGCCAACTGTCGGTGTTTATTAGGGCGACAGCCGCATCTGTACATAACATCATACGCAAGCGAGAAAGGAAAAGCATACACATATAGTCTTTCAGGATCATTTTGTGTTTATTATGGCACACTTGACAGAAGCTAGCGAAAGTAAAAACTCACACTACAAAACTCCTTTACAGAAGAACTACTGCTAGAAAATTTTAAGGTTGTTACAATAATTGAATTGCTAATTATTATCAAGATCTCTAGAGTAGAATAACCACCCATTATGTTCTAGTTTATAAGATAAAACTTGCTAAAGTTAACTGTAATATCAACTCCATAGTCCTGCATCTACAAATATATGTTAAGTAAACCAGTCTCCAGTGATTACATAAAATTAGTATTTTTTGGTTCAGCGTTCTTTAGTCCTTATGTAGATTTCTGTCCAATATTATTTTTTTTAAATCTTCAACATCGGGTAAGGAACATTCTAAAAGCAACTCATTACCATCAACAAGAAGGTTATTTTTTAATGTATATTAAGTATTTGCATTTTCGTTTAGGCCATGTTGATTTGATTATATGGATGACATCCTCTGGGAACCCCAAAACTGATGCGCGCGTGCGAATAAAAAAAAAGTTTTGCAAAAAAAAAAGTTAGCTTTCACTATGAAATCTACGTGGTCAAGAAGGTGGAACAAATGGCACAGAATATGTTATGGCGAATAATCTACTCTTCGAATTCATTTCTTTACATTTTTGTCTTTTTTCCTTTGATTTTGGCATTATACGACATTGGTATCATTTCTAAACGTTTTCCTTGCAACTTATGGTATATTTTTGCTCATTTAGCAACTGTTTTGCACGATTTACAGTATGGTTGAAAGCTTTTTTTTTTGGAAACGGCCGAAAATTCATGCGCGCGCGGATGTCATCCATATAATCAAATCAACAAGGCCTTAGTAACTTTCAGTAGTAAAAATGAAGTCCAGATGCATGGTGATGCATGATTAACATACGGCTGCATCTTAATTCGTTATTGTGACATTTTAGACATTTCGATTGTACTTTTACGATGAGTTCACAGTGACAAATTAAAGATCTTTCCATACAGCATGCATGTTTTCCTATATACACAACTTCGCTGCCAACACAATAGGCACTACATAGTAAGGATATATCAGCTTACTAGTATAAGAATGATGCACATACCATCTAATCGTCTGTAAGTGATCAGACAAGGATCTTGAAGAAAATGTCCACAGGAGACGAGGAGCTTGCTCGCGTGAAATATATATGGGACAAATTATCTAAGACATCGCCAAAAAGTGGCCTAGAGGAACAGTTGATTCATATGCAGTGTCACAGAATATGCCAGGAATTTACAGAATGTTGTGAATTCTTCCATCTCACTTGTCCTCGCTCTTTTGGGGTTGTTTCTCTTCGGTTGGCTTGTCCGAAGAAGTGTCGTCGGATTTTTCGGAGCCGTCTTCCTGGTTGCTCTCTTCAATCTCTTCTTGGATGCGAAGCTTCTCAAGTAGGGCTTCTATATCTTTCTCTGACATGCTGTTGACTTCCGCTTTCACAATAGGCTTCAGTAGGCACTTCAGTCCGTCGAAGAGAGGAAAATCACCGTCCGTTTGTTCATCTTGCAAGTCGAGTACTGCTGCAGTGTTGCGTACCACATTTGGGTTGGGGCATTCGAATTCGTTCGGATTCTGGCGATTCTGGGGATCTTGCTTGGCTCTCACCGTCGTATTTATGGTGTGAAGCTTGACGATGTTGCCTCCCTGCAGCTCCACGATCACCATCATTCCTGAGAGGTTTACCTCGGTCCCCTGGGCCACCTCAGCGAGCTTGTTCTGTGTGGAGAAATGTGGGTACAGACGGTCAAAGTTGGCGCTTATCTCCTGAGCTTGTACCTTAGCTCGTGCCTTGTCCTTGTTCTGAACGAGTGGCAGCTGCTGGTCCTCTGGTTTGACCTTCGCCTGAACTTCACGGTAGTAGCCAGCTGGAACCTTCTGATCAGCAGCTCGCTTTTCATCTAGATTGTATTCCTTCGAATCTGACTTTGGATCATGCAACTTTTCTATCATGGTGGATCTCAACATGAAGGCTCTGAGCACACTTCCCAGCGTGCGTGCAAACCCATAGCCGGTTCCGTCAGTGGGACCACCAAAGTGTTGGCTGTCGGATGCACTTCGCAAGCCTTCGTTCCCAGCCGTCACGGTGCAAACATGTTGAAGACGTCCCTTCTCATACAGTTCGTTCATCGCGATCATGACGACTTGAAATGAAGGATCCACTTTAACGAAGCACACCAGTCTATTATCTGGTGCCGCCGCCATAGTGCTTCAGTACCTGGGCGTCTGCAGGTAGTGCAGAGACTCGCAAGAACGGGCGTATATCAGACGCGACCGTCTGGCACCCACGCCACCGGCCCGACCAATCCGCGACGAGGCACAGAAAAACACGCTTCCACTAGCGACCAAGCATGGTTAAAATCAACACAGACAAGGTCTGAAGGGTTTGGAAAACGCGTCTGGTATTTGCGACACGAAACCCCATATATATTGGCCGTGTCGCTTCGCGAATTCCCTTTCAGCAAAGTCACGTAAGGGTCAGGTACTAGTATTACCTGCGGGTACTAGTTAGCATTTGGCAGGACGCCAATTGTAAAAATCCACAGAACAGTCAAGTTACTATAACCCAAAACATCTTAATGGCTTACAAGGAATTTTGTGTTAAACTGAATTCAATGAAAATATTAATTGTAAACAGAGAAATTCACGCTAAATAAAACACAAAAATTCGACAAAAAATCTAAATATTTCCACGGGGTTTGAAGGTTTTTGATTTCTTGTTTGAGTTATTTTGTTGACAGCTAGACACCGAAACTGCACACATACTGTTAGCCATTAGCCATATACACAAAGGTTAGAGCAATGTCTTCCTGTCAGAGGTAGGTAACACAAATTCAGAAGACTGATCCACTATGTTTCATGTTTGTCGACCGACCAAAGGATGTGAACCGCAACTATATAAACTTTTTTTACCCTGCCACCAACACAGAAGACAAATACCAGGATAATACTCATTTTCAGAGTGAGTCTTAGTCTTAGTCTTATAATGTTATATAACGATGGCATAACGTCCATGTAACTTAAGTGAGAAAAGTCGTGTAAAGTGCCTTTCCCAAGGGCACAAGATCGGTGGCATGTCAGGACTCGAACTCGGGAACTCTTGGTTCTGAGTCGAGCACTCTGCAGTTACGCCACACAACCCCACTAACGCCAAAATTGTCTAAATTTCATGACGCACCCGCCTGCTTACAAGTGTGTGTGTGTGTGTGTGGGGG